CGTGCGTGCGTGCGTGCGTGCGTGCGTGCGTGCGTGCGTGCGTGCGTGCGTGTGTGTATTAAGGAGACACAGTGGCTCCAGCATGGCAGAGGGTCACATAATGTTAGCTCACTGCAGTCCTGCAGAATTCTGGGTCACGGTCAGTCTGACCACAGGACAGGTCATGTGATGCTTCATGTTTGGCCTCCATTCATTTGTTCATGAGTCAGACGCTTGTGGGCAAATTTTGAAGAAGAGCGAGAGAAAGGAATGGTGTCACAAGTTAAAAATGTTTCACCAATGTGTGGACGTCTAATGATGACTAATAAAAACGGTAACAATAATCACAAAGCTGATAAAAATTCAAAGGATCTGCTCCGAGCCACCATTAAACCCTGTGATGGTTGTGCTCTCAGTCACATTGAATAAACTGTTTTGTTTTCACCAGTCAATAGTAGTTTGATTCAGTAAGTTTTTTTTAATTTGTTGCTTCTAATGAAATGTTTTGGACAACTGACTCAGTTGAAACTGACAGCTAGCTTTAATCGTTCAAGAACAGGAAGCAGGACAACCAATCAATATTTTAGCATTCCCTATTAAAGAAAATACTTTTAATTTGTTTTTTGTGTTTTCAACTGCAAAGTGTAGTGAGCAGTAAAACAGCCAGTAACTGTGTTTTAACTGCTTGCTGACCTACTTTATTGCCAATTTTGATGCTAAGCTAATCAAATACTTCAAATGACTTGGGAATTAGTCACAGGAAATGATTAAGGAAGTAAACGTCCTTTAAAATAATGTGTCAGTTATTCCAATAACTTCCTTWCTTAAACTGATTAAAGTCAATTTGGCTATTTGCTAATAAAATACAAAAATATGACGAGCTAAGTAGGTTCAATTTTTTTCCAAGTTTCAGTGAAAAGAGCAGCAGATATTTGACAAAAACAAACATCTATCAACGCACACACATTTTCACACACCCATGTCCTGAAACGGTGTCGTTCTTTTTGTTTCTTTTACAATCATTCCATTCCTGCTTGGGCTACAATCAAACACAGCCAGCCTGACTTGCCAGTTTTGGGCGACAGCTTGACATACTGGTTGTTAGTTTGCCTTATGGCGGCGTATTTAGTGTTTATGCTGGTAAATTTATCAGAACAACCAGATGACCAGTCTTAAATATGCGGCTCACAATAATCCACTGGTGTTCAAACGAAAACTACGAGTTATTTTAGGTTTTGTGAGGAGAGTTGAGGCTCCTCGCCGACATCCATATCAGCCATCGCTCGGTTGGCTCTGAGACTCAATCTTCTCTGTTCATATCTTCTGTGTATGCATACAGTATATGTATCTTTTTGCCTTGATTAATTATGGGGAAAAAATATCTATTTTTTGTAACTGTTCTCTGATGTGCCATAACTCATGTTTTCTTGCACACTGTTAATATTTTGTGGACATTGCTGTTTAAAAAATGATATTGAGAAGTAGAAAACATTAATAAAAAGATGATATGATAACATTAATTTTTGTTTGATTCTTTTTTGTGTGCCCTACATGAAAATGATATGTCGCTTTAGATTTTTMATGCAATAAAATGTAGTTTAGTTTTTTTACTAAAATATTCAGAGGGATTGCAAAAAGTTGACTGTTTTATTTTATTTTATTTTCTTTTTGGATGTGTTTGTCTGTCTGTTARCAAAATATCTCATGAACTTCTGACCAAATTGGAGACTCTCTAAAAGTGTTTATTGGATGAACATCTCCTACTGATTAACTTTTGATGTCAACCCCATTCAAGATGGCCRCCTCAGCTAACCCACTTTAGCAAACGCATAAAATGACTGTAACTTATGAGTTATGACTACAACTGTGTTTAAACTTGTTCTGCTCAGACAGCACAGTTCAGCCTGTATCCAAACCAGTACACGGTGTCCTAAGCACTTTCCCCCTCTTTTTCTTAGGTTCTGCAATGCCTATGTGTTTATCTGTCTGTTAGCAAAATATCTCGTGAATTACTGACCCGATTGTAATGAAACTCCATGAAAATAATTATTGTATGAACATTTATGACTGATTAACTTTTGAAATCCGACCAATTCAAAATGGCCACCACAGCTAACACAATTTATCAAATGCAAACATTACTGTAACTTGGTCCAATTTAAAGCTATCAAGCTAAATTTTGCCGTGTTAGTAGTCGAGACTCATCTCCAGCTCATACTCCAAGCAATCATTGATTGCAAGAGATCTTGTTTGAAACTTTGCCATTAACAATTCTGTCTGTTAGCAAAATATCTCATGAATTACTGAACAGATTGTAATGAAACGTTCAGAATGTAATCATCAGATGTACATTCACAACTGATTACCATCCATCCATCCATCCATCCATTTTCTTCCGCCTATCCGGGGTCGGGTCGCGGGGGCAGCAGCTTCAGAAGGGAGGCCCAGACCTCCCTCTCCCCAGCCACTTCTTCCAACTGATTACCTTTTGTAGTTATTTCAATTCAAGAAGGCCACCATAACTAATTAAAATTTTCTTGCGTGAAAATGTTTGTAACTCAATCAGTTTTACAGTTACTGAGCTAAAATGAGATGGGGTACTTGCCGAGGTTTACTCAAAAACATATTGAGATCTTACATTATTTAATGAGATTGTTCATAATGGTTTGTTTGTTCATAAGGGTTGGAAAAATACAGCATGCTCAGTTACTCCAATATGTGTKGAGGACAAAGCAACAAATACAGAATTAAGACTTGAATGTTAAATGTAGGAATCAAAGCCATACAAATGCTCTGCAGCTAGGCTAATAGCCTCAGCCTTTTTTCCCCAGGCAGGGAGTTTCAGCTGCTTATATACACTTTCTTCCAGTTCTGGATACTCCCTAGCTGTCGTGTCGATTGGAGGTTATCCCTACCACCAGAAAAAAACAGAAACCCTTTGGCAACAATCCTGCGTTTTGATGAGAAATAACTATTATTGTTGTGCATGAATTTAACTAAACATATCACAAGAGTACTTTGCTTGAAATGACAATGACATAAGCCACTCAAAACAGACTGTACATCCCTAAATCACATAAAAATTAGATTATTTTGTAAAATAAGTCATCAGAACACACCCTGGTTCTCCTGGGAATATAAACAGTATGTGTGATGTGTTAACAATCAGTGGTAAACAGAATAAATTCCCTTCAGGTTGATAAAAAAACTAAACCTTGTCAGCATAAGGTGAATAAAGGCAGCAGATGAAATGCATCTCTTTAAGAAATGCAAGTMCTTTAGTTCCTTTAGTTGTCCAGTGTTTGGTTTTGTGCTGTGTCTGTGGGACATTCTGTCTTTTTTTCCTGAAGCTATCTAAATCACATGATGTTCRGAGCAAAGACAGAAACTCGGTGCAGCAAGCAGAAGAAACAAAGACCACAATAAAGTAGAGCCTCTCTGTTGGGTTATTTAACAGGAATTGTTGCACCTTTTGTGTCTCAGACCTGCTCTAAGTCCTTTAAAGCTCTGCTTCAACATTCAAATGCCTTTTTTTTCCTTCATATTTCAAATCTTGCTCCTCTCTCGRCTGCTCAGCAAATACAGCCCAGAGGAGATTTAGGGTGGGCAAAGCCCAGCCAGTCAGAAGCCAGGCCTYGCATGGATTACACCTCCGAGCTGCAGATTATAAACAAACGGTCGGTCCATGTGCCTGAGTGTTCCTCAGAGCGCTGGGCCGACATGTGAGAGGGCTGATACTAAGATTAGCTGGAGACAAGAGCGGGATGGGCGGTGTTTTTCCGTGCATGCTTTGCATGCAACGGAAAATTGACAGTGAAAGAAAGAAAAAAAATGCAGCAAAACATGTACCGAGGCATATTATTGATAGGTGGCATTCAGTTTTCCTGCAACWTTTCTTCCTGTAGGGACAGTTTGTCTGCATTAGCTGGCTTTGCCTGTTCCAGCTGGGACGGTTAGTTTCTGTCTCCACCCTGGTTTCACTATGACTGATTTACTTTTCCTACAACAGAGGAGGATTTCTGATGAATGGATGTATTGGTCATAAATGCCAACGGTGACTTACAGAACTGTGTTCGACGTGGGGCTTTTGTTTGGAAATAAAAGCAAATACCTTTTATGAATTCAAATAAATTTAATAAATTAGCATGACAAAAAAAACAGAAGGCTGCAAAAACAAGTTATACAAAAAATAAATTAAAAGTGAAACAACTTCATGTTATCAAAAAAGACAACAGTATTGAAGGCACAGTGATGCTGACTGTGTTTAAACATGTTCTGTTCAGACCAGCACAGTTCAGCTTGTATCTAAACTAAAATACAGTACATCACGTCCCGAGCACTTTTTCTTTTTTGCACTTTTGTCCCTTTTTTTCCCCTTAGATTGTGCAACGCCAGCAAGTCCTACCAGTTTTTATCCTTTCAGTTTCCATAGTAATCCCTCCTCCACAGGTTCAGCTGTTCGTTGCACACCCATTCCTTTCTAAAGAAAAACACTGTACGTGCATACCACACTTTTCAAACACACACCCACCCCCTGTTCTCTGCAGAGACTCTCCCATGTCAGAACACACAGGAATGCTGGGTGCACAGTAGTCTTACAACATTTCTGTCCAGACAGTAAGCACACAAATCCTCCAGGTATAAGCCGGGGTGTGGAATATTCACCATCAAAGCGACTGCTCCCTTGTAATGATTAAGACATAGTGGCCCAGACAGGCGGCACAATTAGAAAAAAAAATAGTTTTGTCTTTTCCTGGCCAAATGTGCATGTCAGTCTCCTTTCTGTCTTTATCTTTTGCACAACCATCCGACTGTTTCGCAGCGACTGATGGGGCCGGTTTTGGCTCCTGCTGGTCTGAACCAGTCCACTCGAAGCTTTTGCTGCTTGAGCATCAAGATCCTTCATGTCACTTAGTGTCTGAGCCCAGAAAAAGGTCTGGGTTTGTTCAGCGTTCTTGCAGGACCAGTTCCGGCGGCCATTGGTGAAGACGGCGACTCTCCTGGCAGTAGGTCCCCACTTCTTGCAGCCTGCAGTGGTCCACCTGCGGGTTCTGCAAAAGAAAAAAAAGGTGAGTTTTATCTGCAGACGAGAGAAAAAAAAATCCAAAAAACGACAAGTTCTGAGAGCCTTGTTCCGCTGACTCACCGTAACCAGCATGCAGTGGAGGTCTCTGCTCTCCTCCTGGTTTCTGTTCGCATCCACACCGCCCAGGAGCTGCCGGAGCCGCTGGAGCCCGGCGACCCGCAGGATGTCGATGCCCGTGTCGCAGCAGAAGGACTGAAGCAGCGTGAAGTGGATCTGCAGGGCCACGTCGTCCTCGTCGTCAACGGCCAGGACGCACAGAACCACGCTGTCCAAATCTCTGTGAGACAAGGAAAATCCAAATTAGAAAAAAAAAAAACACATGTCTGGAGCTGTTAGATTTGGTGATGTGTTTTCTCTGGAAATGGGAGGTTATGGGACAAGCATGAGAAAGCACACTTGAGYCCAAATTAATGGTTTCAACTCACGTGTTGAGAAGCTTTGCTGATTCATAGATACCAACAGTCAGGCAGTCTTGTTTCTGAGCCGTGACCAGCAGCTCCTCCAGGGCCAGACTTGCACTCTGCATCCTGAGGATAAACACAGAAAACTCACTCGTTACAACCATTAAATAATAATAATAATAATAATAATAATAATAAACTATTCTGCTTTTTCTTATTCAAAATTTAATCTAAAATGAGTGAGTGAGTTTCACATGCAGCATATTGGACATATAACTAAAAATAATTTAATATAAGTTAGGTTGCAATGATGAATCTGTGCAACATGCATGAATTTCTTGTACCAAGTGAAACTATTCAGTTTAGTCTTTGAACTCTTCATGCAGCAGGATTGATTTTTATAGGAACTAACTTAAAAACTCTGACATCTAGTGCTGCTGTGAGGTAGGGAAACGTGCAGAAATCAAAATCTATGATGCAGTTTTTAAATCACAGATCAGCCTCAGGTAAAACAGGGCTCAAAGCACGAGTTCCTGTCCTGCACAGGATGTTCTCTCACACGAAACAAACATCTCTACTAAAACACACTGCATGCATGAAAACCTGACCTGCTGYTCTGCACCGAGCCGAAGTTTTCCTCAGGAATCATGTTGATGACAAATCAGAAAATGAATCCCAGGCGAGTGAAAAGCGTGACGGTCCGTCGGTTGTAAATGTGTGCAGGATCTGTGCAGGCTCAGCTGACAAACACGTTTTATACAGACACTGAGAGGAGGGAGGCACCGAAACTACCCGGCTTTTGTTATTGGCTCCATGCAAATCAAGCCTCTGCTCTGCATTTTTCAGTCATGTGAACATTTTTTTAACTCGACAGTGACGTCACAAAAATAAAACATATGTGTGTGCCATATCATACTGAGAAACCCTCCTTAACTTTGAGCATGTATGCTTTTTTATGTATATAAACAGAATTATGCAACTCCTCGTCTTTTCATAACATTAAAATTTCCAGAACACCAGGAAATGTGACCTCATGACTGACACCTAGTGGCTGAGTGAGGCAAATACAGTTTTAGAATGTTAGAATGGCAATCTCCACTCAAGCTATTTCATAGAGTTAAAAAGCACTAGATTTCATCAATCATGTAGATATGTACAAGAAAAAAAAATCATAATTTATATAAAAAACTGCGGAGGTAAGTGTTTTCCTCCTTGCTTTTGTTTTAAACTGAACTTTAAACTTTAAGCAAAACTGAGGGAGCACATGCATGTAAAACCTATCTGCACATGGTTCCCGCTCCTTCTTGTCTATTGACCAACATTAGGCTAACCCAAGAAATGCAGCCCACCTTATTTGCATAATAAAACAAAAATACATGAGGTAAAGTAAAAACAGAAAAAAAATGTAAAAGCAACATGTGGAAATTAAAAGACTTGTGGGGAAAAAACAATAAAAAAACAAATAAAAACATTTAAGGGACAAATGTATGTACAAGTAAATTTTAAATTATATGCTAAAATATATAATTTGTTGGAACAAAGCTGGAAAAAATGAATATGATGGTCAATTAAATAATAAAACACAAGGGAAAGTTCTCCCATTTAAATTAAATAGTTCGTTCTGAGTGTATTTATTTGTTTATTGGTCCTTTGATAAAATTTTGCTTTTATTACTAATTATGCCAGTTTCAGTCCTCCATAGCCAATACAGGCTAATGGTAAGTGCAGACTCTTACCCATTTTGCTTCAGTATCACATGGTCAACTCACTCCAGCTGTCATATGTACCTCTATGGCGTATTTTTAGAACACTGATCACTATGTGTGGGTGGCACGGTGGCTCAGTTGGTAGAGCTGATGCCTCTCAGCAAGAAGGTCACCGGTTCAAATCCCAGTCTGGGGACCTTTCTGGGTAGAGTTTGCATGTTCTCTCCRTGTATGCGTGGGTTCTCTTCGGGTACTCCGGCTTCCTCCCACAGACCAAAAACATGACTGTTAGGTTAATTAATAACTCTAAATTGTCCCTAGGTGAGAGTGAGAGAGTGAATGGTTGTTTGTCTYGTTTGTCTCTATGTGTGGCCCTGTGATGGACTTGCGACCTGTCCAGGGTGTACCCCGCCCCTCGCACTGTGACTGCTGGATATGGGCACCAGTGACCCACRCRACCCTGAAAAGGAAGAAGCGTGTACAGAAAATGGATGGATGGATGGATGATCACTATGTCCACAGCTGTGCTAATAACTCTGGTAGCTATGTTTMTTTTCAATCGTAGAGCAGGTTTACCTGTATTTAAACTTAAAGAAATTCTGGAAAGCAACATCACCAGGAGGACCACAAACATTGTTCTGTGTGTAACAGTGACTCAGGGTACAGCCATCATCCTCACATAGAGGAAGTATTTTTTTGTCACTTTTCCCAAGCTAATATGAAGGCTGGATTTGAACGCTGGGACGAAATGAACTTGACTGGAAAAAAGTGCAACCATGGACTTACACATGYTCCAAACATTTTATCGGATGTAAAAGACCAACACAGGACCACCCGGATCTTGTCCCTGCACCTTGTCGATAAACAGGAACAGTAAACCTTATATTGTTTTTGCTGTAGGCCTACTGCTAGCTTTCTCATAGCATCCATGCTAACCTGAGGGATTCTACTGCAGTTACACATATGGTAATGATATTGGACATACATACATTTTAAACATCACCATTAGGTTTCTTAAATGATGTAGAAGCATTGGCTCCGGTGGGAAACAAATCATTACAAATAATTGTTTTATGTTTTTATTTATTTATTTTTTTACATTTTACACAGCTTTTTTAGATTTGAAGTTGTATAATAGTGTTCTAAAATAAAGCCCATGATTTCTCAAATTTTTGAACATCTTACATCACATCATCTTCACAGCTGAATCCAACATTTACCTCAAACAATCTAAAAACAAAGATCAAATTTAAGAAAAATATACAAAATTGAGTTTCATAAAAGGCTGTAAAGCCTCACATTTGGCAAATGGGTTAAAAAAAACCCAGAATGTAGCACAATTTACCATTTCATAGTTTTCTGCATGCATGACATGGTGGGTAGGAGTCAGGATAAAAACAAACCTGAGCTGCTATTGGATTTCATGGATATGACCACAATTTTCCCATTCATTAGTAAAGATATCCACTCTTTTGGCAATCTATGGCTGAAAAAAACACTGTACAAGGTCAAATGCTGGAGCATCGGTGCTTTAAATGACAGATCTGAGATGCAGCATAATGAGGATTTGGTACCCTGGTATATACTGCTAGTGTTAGAAAGCTCAAACCTAAGCCAGATGTTCAAAAGCAAAACTAGCTAAAGGTGTGGCCTACCAACAATTACACCAGACTCCCTCTCAATGCTTGTATTTACAGATGTGAACAGGTTTTTTCAGTTTATCGATTCAGTTACTGATGTTATGGCAGACAAAAAGGTAAATAGTCTGCATGTATTAATCACCTTATCAAGTCTTCCAAAGATTTCAAAGCACATTAAACTACAATTATTCACACATTCATTCACACATTCACACAATGATGGTGGTAAGCTACATTGTAGCCACAGCTGCCCTGGAGTAGACTGACAGAGGCGAGGCTGCCATACGCTAGGGCCACTGGACCTTCTGACCACCACTAGCCATCAGGGAAGGTGAAGCGTCTTACCCAAGGACACAACAAGTGAGACGGATAAAGGAGGGGTTTAAACTGGTGGATTACTGGTTTAAAACCCTGGTTTCCGAAGTAAAATTCTAATGCATTTCTATAGCAACCTCAGTATATACCTTATAACCCATGACCTGGCTGCTTTGTGCATTTGTAACTATGAAATTGTCTATTGATGCAGTTTTTAGACACAGTACTGTGTAAGTGGTCAGTAAAGATGATGCAGGACATGAATGTTTCTCTTATTTTTGGAGATAGAGCTTCTTATGGCTGACTAAATTTAAGGTCTATAGATTGCTTTCTTTATAGATACAAATCAAAAGATCAAAAACATCCTAGTTTTTGCTTGATACTGTACCCTGTAGGCTCACATCTTCATCACATTCTAAACAACTTGTTCATTGTTTTTTGGCACAACTCTGGCGGGACGATCATTAGATCTGTTCAGCTCCTCGTCTTCATCATCTTGAACTTGATTTTCGAAAAAGCTGTCTGCATAGTTGAGCATTTGCTCCAAGGCCATGGAGAGCAGTATGTCAGTGGTCTGGTCCAGCTCCAACTCCTCACAGTAGTTTTTCACAGGCAGCACGTAAGACAAAGGGATGCCCAGAGACTCGCTCAACTGACGGGCCTAAAAGAAAATTGGACAAAAGGCAAAGATTCATTTGCCCTCCTAAAAGGTTTCAATGTGATATACAGCGGGAAAAATAAGTATTGAACACATCAACATTTTTCTCAGTAAATATATTACTAGAGGTGCTAATGACATGAAATTTTCACCAGATGTTRGTAACAACCCAAGTGATCCATGCATACAAAGAAATCAAACCATAAATGTCCAGAAATGAAGTTGTTTGTAATAATGTGGAATGGCACATGGAAAACGTATTGAACACACTTACTGAAATTTATCTAATACTTTGTACAAAAGCCTTTGTTGTCAATGACAGCTTCAAGACGCCTCCTGTATGGAGAAACTAGTGGCATGCATTGCTCAGGTGTGATTTTGGCCCATTCTTCCACACAAACAGTCTTCAAATCTTGAAGGTTTCGTGGACCTCTTCTATGAACTCTGATCTTTAGTTCTTTCCATAGATTTTCTGTTGGATTCAGGTCAGGTGATTGGCTGGGCCATTCCAGCAGCTTTAGTTTCTTTCTCTGAAACCAACTGAGAGTTTCCTTGACTTTGTGTTTGGGCTCATTGTCTTGCTGAAATGTCCAGCCACGTTTCATCTTCATCATCCTGGTAGATGGAAGCAGATTTTTATCAAGAATGTCTCTGTACATTTTTCCACTCATCCTTCCTTCAATTATTTGAAGTTTGCCAGTACCATATGCTGAAAAACAGCCCCACACCATGATGTTCCCACCTCCAAACTTCACTGTTGGTATGGTGTTTTTGGGCTGATGTGCAGTGCCATTTGACCTCCAAACATGATGTGTATTCTGGCATCCAAACAGTTCAATGTTGGTCTCATCTGACCAGACTATATTCTCCCAGTATTACACAGGCTTGTYTAAATGTTGTGCAGCAAACTTTAAAGGAGCTTCARCATGCTGTTTCTTCAGCAGTGGAGTCTTGCGTGGTGAGCGTGCATACAGGCCATGGTGGTTCAGTGCATTACTTATTGTTTTCTTTGAAACAAACGTACCTGCTAATTCCAGGTCTTTCTGAAGCTCTCCACAAGTGGTCCTTGGCTCTTGGACAACTCTTCTGATAATTCTTTTCACTCCTCTGTCAGAAATCTTGTGAGGAGCACCTGGTCGTGGTCGGTTTATGGTGAAATAATGTTCTTTCCACTTCTGAATTATGGCCCCAACAGTGCTCACTGGAACCTTCAGAAGTTTAGACATTCTTCTGTAACCGATGCCATCATTATGCTTTGCAACAATAAGGTTGTGAAGGTCTTGAGAGAGCTCTTTACTTTTATCCATCATCAGATGGTTCTTGTGTGATACCTGGCCATCATTTGGGACTGAACCAGCTGATATTAACTTGCACTGACAAGGGGCAGGCTTGTTTTCTAATTACTGAGAGAGTTCAGCTGGTGTCTTGGCTTTCCATGCCTTTTTACACCTCCCTTTCTTCATGTGTTCAATACTTTTTCCCTGTGCCATTCCACATTATTACAAATAACTTCATTTCTGGACATTTATGGTTTGATTTCTTTGCATGTATGGATCACTTGGGTTGTTACCGACATCTGGTGAAAATTTCATGTCATTAGCACCTTTARTGAGAAAAATGGTGACGTGTTCAATACTTATTTTACCCGCTGTAATAAATTGCTATGAAAACTGTACCTTCTTTTGGACGTAAACACTTTGATACACATTCTTTAAGTCTTCTGACACATGTGGACAGGCTTCATCTACTTTAGTCATCAAGATAATCTGAGGAATTCCTGCCAGGGACCAAAACACAAAACAATAAGAAATTAAACAGGGAAGAGTTTGAATAATACTGACACTAAATATACTTAGTACAGGACATCTATCCACCTTATTTTCAAATTCAGAAGTAAATAAGGGTCCAACTTCCTTTTTTTATGTGGCACTTGCATTTTACTCCTTCCCTGGGCTAACTAAATTGGTGAACTATTCATGGGAACATTTTCAAAAATCGCTGAATAATCCAAGTGGCAAATCAGTGCCAGACCCTCAAACTATTCTTCAGGGTGAGGATGATATGAAAAAATGGCCTCATATAACGTAAGAAGACATTTTTAACTATTGTGTTGTCACTTGGTGCAGATGAGTCTACATTGCATAATTACAGAAGTACAGAGATGTATTGCTGCATTCACACAAATGTGTTTTTGACGCTCAAAACATGTTCGGTCTGAATGCAGCATAGTGGAAAAGTTGGCAAGATATTAATCAATAACAAAATTGATGATCTGGTATTCATGAAAAATCTGATGTCATATCAACCAGTACTAYTGAGATGGCCAGGTGCTCCAGAGGTAAGTATTTGGGGTTGAACTAACGCAACAGATATTGTTAGCATTGAAATAAGTCTTTTAAAAAACATTAACAGACAGTTTATAGCTGCCACTGTAATCTGTCCATATTTCCAATGTAGCTGTAACATCAATGACTGTAACACATAAAAAATAGAAAATATGGTAAAAAGTTAGTTAGCAAGTCAGAAGTACTACCTGACCGGAAGTCTCTCCAAAAAAAAAAAAAAAAAACAATGATTGACTGTGTCCGTATCTCCACTAAAAAAAAGGTGGATAGGCTGATAAAGAACATTTTAGTTCTCAAAAATTCCAATATTGTTCTACTAACCCAGCTGATTGGCCTTTTTCCGGATGGCAGTGAACTTGTTCAGCATATTTGAGCTGAGAAGAGACACCTTGCAGGTGTCGACTACATARGCCAGGCAGTGAATCTTGTCATTCAGAGTCACATGTTTCCTGTAGCCAGGAGTATCTTCCATAATTGAATATGTGCCAAACTAAAGGGCAAACAAAATGTTAGGAATTAGTCAGTAACCACAGTAAGATAAYAGAAATGTTGATGTTTAAAGACCTGGTAGCGATCCTTGACGTGACCTTTACAGATGCTGACAACGTCATCTATATTCAAACCAGCATCAGGGTTTTCCTCCAGTCCCATTGTGTCGCAGAGTACCAGGGGAATGGTTCCACCTCCTCTCCCTGCCTTGATGGTGTAAGTGCGGAACTAGAAAATTGTTGTGAAAAGGGAAATAACACAACAGTCWGTCAAATGTCAGATGTATTGTCATTTATCTTTTGACAAACTGGAATAAGAATCCAACCATCTCTCAGCYAACAGTAAGCGTTGTAGTTTCATTTTACAGTTTTTATTTTTGCAAGTAATCCTGCACTTGAACTTTCATATAGGCCTACCAGATTAAATACAACTCTACATATCCTGCAAATRTGATGAAAGAATATGAAATTTGTTTTTTTATTTTTACTTGAGAGGTCACACTCGTTCCTGCTGTTCCAGTGATGGCCTGGCTGGTCATGTTGCCTCGAAAARCTGAGTTAATGGAGTTGAAAAAGCTGGACTTGCCGGCTCCAACAGCCCCCACCAACAACACACGGACCTGAGTCACCGTTTTGATGTCAGGTTTGTAGTCCTGGATGGTTGTAATCAGCTGCCTCCTTTTCCTATGATAAAACAAATTCAATAAACTTATCACAAAAAGTAAGGAAATGTGTGTTTGGTAGATTATTTCTTTGTTTTAGCAATGCTTCAATAAATCTTGTTCGGGTGGAAAGCCTGTTCATTTCCTTTTAAATGGTGCCACATTTGTAAGGAACAAGCATTTGTGGGATGAGCAGTAGAGCTGAGTATGTGGGTTGCACACATGAAAAAATTGCCAAATCTTTGCCAAACAGCTCATTTTGTGTTTGCTATTGACTCTTGTTTTGAGCTTCTGGTACCTGCAGGTTCTGTCAGATGGCTCTCAGAAGATTGTTACAGCAAAGAAATAAACTACCAAACCCATATTTCCTTACTTTTTATGCTGTTTTGTGCTTATATGTATTTTTATGTTATTTATTTATATGAACATATAAAGACAAAACTATATCTAAAGGAGTTAAGGCATTGTGTAAAATGTTATTACAAAAATAATGTAATGATTTGCAATTCTCATAAAGTCATATTTTATACACAGTAAAACCTCAAATGTTATGATTAAGAAATTGCACAATTTTGCAATGCAATAAATAAGCTAATTTTGAATCTAATGTCAGTAACATCTCAAATAAGTTGATGTGTGTTGTAACGAATGTGTGGTATAACATGGTCTTGTTGAAATAGGAAACATAAAAAACATCACATGCTGCTTTAAACATGAATACTTTTTTCCACTGATGGTGAAAAGTAAATATTTGATGGTAAATATTCAAAACTTAAATAAATTAAAGTTTATTGCCTATATGCCAGAGGAACTAATGCACCCCAATACCATCAGAGAGGCAAGTCAGATGGCCCTTCTGCTCTTTATGGAAAGGACATGGAAGTCTACAGTCTGACTACAAAATATTTTGAATCATTTGGTGAAGAGAAGTATCTGTCTGTTTGTGTTTGTTTGTTTGTTTACTTGTTTTTGCTTGTATGTTTGTTTTTAATACTCAGTCTTTACTAACCTGTGTTGTTAGTTGCAAAATGGTCCAGCTGTTTCTTATTCTTATTTCTAGTTTTTATCGCTCCTTTCCCACCATCAAACCCAAAATTATCAAATTTTTTCATAAAAACTAAAATATTTTAGTTTTAACTGAGATTTGCTTTCTGTTTTATGTTTATTTTTAACAATGCCATTCAGATTTAATGAAATTAAGATCCAAACAACATTCAGATCATTTGTTTATTTTAAAATAAAACTGACGGGTGATCAAAAATGTATAATTAAATGTACAGTTGTGTTGGAAAAGCTGCCAAACTTGACTGCTTATAAGAAAGTTTGGCTCCTTGGCAGATATTTTTTAAACGACGAGGGCAGTTTGAAGCATTTGCACAGCATTGCACTCAAGTCTAGAATATTTAAAATGTAAAAAAACAATTTAAATATTCAAAACTTAAATAAATTAAAATAGATAAGCTTGTCAGCCCTACTTACTCAGCTGTCCACTGGATGTTCCTCCAGGGCTTAGGC